GGGAATTGTAATTAATGTTCTCTGACCAAACTATCTTAACTAGAGATGATATGTTTAAACTATCTTAAATGCTTGAATTGAATCTTTATAGTTATTGGTTTTGAATTTTGGTTCGATTTGGATAGTTAATAGTTCATCATAAAATTAACGCAAAACCAACAATCAATTAACCAAACAAAACTCATCTTAAAGTCACTTCAATCACTACATTACGATCTCCACCACTTCATTTGATCTAGACGCACTACTTTTCCCAATTGTGAAGTTTTCCACAAGTCCACGTTAGATTTTAGAAGCTTTTGCAAACTCTACTGCCACCATATGTTTCTCTTTTTTTTATTTTCTCTAGAAAATAGTGGGGTTGTAACTCTTTTCATAGGAATTATGTTGCCCAAAAATATTTTTGAGGGAGTATTCTATTATTGTCTTCTTCTACAAAATGCTTTCTCCTGATTCTTGTCTTAGTCTCCTCTTTCTTCCTTTTTTCCTCTGAAACAGACGACTTGTATTTCTCGTGTGGATACCAATGTTGAACTAATAGCACCGCGATGCTATAAATCCCTGAATCATAAAATAATATTGTTTATTTACTTATGATGTAAATACTCTTTTTCTTTTAAATGGGTTAGTAGTTGTTTGTTTGCCTTGATTTAGAATATTTGAAAGTGTTCACAATGAGAATCGAATAAAAAGAAGAAAAATAATTTACCTTGGTTCCTCAGATTATTTATCACTATCTTTTAAATGATTAGTAGTCGCAACTATTTGATTTTGTCATCTATAATTAAGCATTTTCAAAACACTACACATCAGAATCATAAAAGAATATCGTTTGTCTACTACTCTAGTTTATATTTTAATAATTGGTTAATTAGTTTTTTTTTGTTTTTTGTTGGTCCTGAGTTAGGAAATTTGATTAGTACTCAACACCTTATACGTAAACAATAACAATAAAGAATGGACTAATGGAGTTGAAGAACAACAAGACATACTGATTATTTGTATTCTTGTTTGACGCAGACTTTTTAATTAATAAGTTTGAAAAAACTCTTACAGAGAGAAGAAAAACAATGTAAATGCCGACAAAATTAATGTATGATATTATTAAGAAGATCATTGGCTAAAAGACGTAGAGAAATCGAAGACCTTAAAAGTCTCTTGTTTATGAACATTAACTTAGAGAAATCGCATAAAATACCACACCACTATTGATTATATCAAGGCCTTGGCTTTTGTGGTCGTTAGATTTATTTTAAAAAGTTGAAAAGGAATATAATCTAGACAAGATAAGAGTCCAAGGGGTAAAATTGGAATTAACAGAATTTTATAGAACACTCTCAAGCTTCTACTATAAAGCAGTGTTCGTCGAGCTTCTTCCTCCTCTGTTTTTGCAGCAGCGATGGCGAGAAGAGAGAGCAG